ACATAAGATATTATTGGCTGAGTTTGTGTTAAACATACCAGTGAGGCCAGGGACAGTGGCTCATGCCTGTAATTCTAGCACTCTGGGAGGCTGAGCCGGGAGAATAGCTCGAGCTCAGGAGTTCAAGACCAGCCTGAGCAAGAGTGAGACCCTGTCTCTACTAAAAATAGAAAAAATTAGCTGGGCATGGTGGTATGCACCTGTAGTCCCAGCTGCTTGGGAGGCTCAGACAGGAGGATCACTTGAGCCCAGGAGTTTGAGGTTGCTGTGAGCTAGGCTGATGACATGGCACTCTAGCCTGGATGACAGAGCAAGACTCTCTCTCCAAAAAACCAAACAACAACAACAACAAAAAACATACCAGTGAAAATGCATTCCCGTTTCATTTATTCAAAGGCACTAATGGCTTTAATAAAAGCAGAACATATTATTTAAGAGGGCTAGATAATTAACCTTGACAAGAAGTAAGCGCAGAATTCTTACGAATGCATTAGCTGATTTCTACTACGGACACTGAGCATTTGGTCTTTCACTTGGCATCCTAATGAGAATTCAGTAACCACTGGAGACACGCAGTGATGGCAGTCAGTGGAGTTGTTTGGGAAGGGCTTAGGTTAGAAACACTAGCCACTTAGGATAATGTTGTTATATCAATAACGGTCTTAGACAAGACACAGTGGTGCTAAGCAAAAGATGCAGATTAAAAACAAAAGTCACAACCATATTTCTTGAACTTTAGGCAATGTTTATGATTTGTTATGGGATGTTAAACCATATGGAAGATATCACCAAGAAAGAATGCTGAGGTGCTCTTTGGTATATTGTTTTTGGCATATATTAAGCATATCAAACCTTTTCGATGCAAAAATATTTATTGTACACCTACTGTGTGTTCTAGCATTTATGTGAGAAATTAGACACACATAATACATTATCACTGTCTTTGTAGAGTTAACAATCATGTTATGAAGACAAGATATATTCAAAGGAAAGAGAACCATTCAGATCCACTGCCCTGGGGATGCTACAAGACCACACATGTTAACTGTCACCTGAACATGGTGGGTCAGCAGTCTGAAACGTCGGTTCTTGGTGTGCTCGTGGCTGAAGAATGACCAGACACACCGAAAGCACGGTAAGCACAAAACGAGGTTTATTAAGGGGAGAAAGACAAGATTACAGAGCAAGAGCAAGATACATTCGCCACGTATGACAAATGAACCCCTTGTGTGTGTATCGGGCCCTCCTTGTGGTTCAGACGTCACCGTGGAATCACTTAGATGGACAGTTGGGAGGTATATGACCTGAGTCTTACTGCGCATGCGAATCTCCCATGAGCCTCTCTGAAAGTCCATTTCGGGGGAGGGGAGGTGAACAGCAATGTAGATTTAAGCTAATGACATGATAATTAACTTTAGGTTGTCCTAGGTCACCTTCCAGACCCCATAGTACCTGTGCTGCTTGGCCCGCAGGCTACAGAATCCTTTGCATTCTTTTGCAGTTGGCGCGCTAAGTTCTGACTGGCAGATTTGTAGGGCATTCCCTCCTCCCCAAGGTGTAGTAATTGCTCAGGCTCGGGGCTTTGTCCCCAGGAGGGGTCAGAGGTCCTTGGCTGTCTACCTAACAAACGTGCGGACAGTAAGTTTTGTCAGACTTAGGTTAGGGGGAGATCTTTGTGGATGAGTGTGGTCATTGTGGGAACAGAGATGGAACTTCAATGATAAGTAAGAATTGACAGATGAGAAAAAGTAAATAAAAAGGAACAATGAGCCAAAATTTGGAATGAACATACCATGCTTCCATGGTGGGCAAAACAGCCAGATCAGAAGGGACCATCAGAGAAAGAGAGGGAAGAAAATCAGGAAAATATTAATTTTTTGCATATATTTTACAAAGAAACTGTATAGAGCTTTGTAGTGTAAAAATGAGCATGTGGCCAGGCTCTGTGGCTCACACCTGTAATCCTAGCACTCTGGGAGGCTAAGGCAGGAGGATTGCTTGAGGTCAGGAGTTCAAGACCAGCCTGAGCAAGAATGAGAATCTGTTTCTACAAAAAATAGAAAAATTAGCCAGGTGTGGTGGTGCACACCTGTAGTCCCAGCTACTCAGGAGGCTGAGGCAGGAGGATCTCTTGAGCCCAGGTGTTTGAGGTTGCTGTGAGCTAGGATGATGCCACTTGCACTCTACCCCAGGCAGCAGAGTGAGATCCTGTCTTTAAATAAATAAATAAACACGTGCTCAATTCTTATCCTATGGGATTCACAAAACAAAAACCTCAGGGAGGTAGGTGGCTTGGGTACTGCTCCCAGAGAATGAATGAGCTTGGCCGAGCTCAGGCAGCAGGAGAGTGACAGAGCTGTATGTGTCCTGGGGCTCCTGGTTACTGCCCCAGAACACTTTCCTCCACATAAAGCTCAAAAGGTAGCTTGAGATGCAATGGTGAAGCCTCTCCATGGCAGGTTAAGGAATCTGGCTTTTATTCTGTGAGGAAAAGAAGTAGACAATGTACCCAACTTAATAAAAGGAGAAAAATGTAGAGTCTACCACAGATAGCCAACGATCATCTTGACATTGACCTTGGACAAGGCTCTAGAGTAGGCTTTTTGAAGAATGGTTTTGAGTACCTGAGTACTTGAAAAAACTTGCAAGCGCAAGTTCACCAAAATCCCAGTTTGAATAACTCATTTCCTTCTCTGGCATGTGTACGATGGAAAACTGTAGTTTGTAAGACCCTTGCTTCAGATACCACTGTGGGGAAAATGGACAATTATAGATTGGTGGATTGGTTTGCATTCAGTTTTAAAGTTGAAGGGGATATTGGAACTCATGTAGCTCTGCTTCATCGTTTTACAAATGATAAAAGGAAATGACTTGCTTAAGTTTACGTCCTCCTCTTCCACCTCATCATCATCATCATCATCATCATCATCATCATCATCATCATCAAATTAGCTTGCACATATCAAGCATTTACTATTTATCTGGCATATTCCAAATTATTAGCAACATGTTGACTCATTTAATCCTCACACTAACCCTATAAGGTAACAAAGGCCCAGGGAGATTCAGTTACTTGCCAATATCACAAGGCTGTAAGCGATGGAGCTGGGATTTGCACTCAGCAAGGCTGGCTGGTGAGTTGGTGCTTTCTCTACAGATATAGGCTTTCCAGGCCATATAACTAGTAAGTAGCAGAGCAAAGCGTCAAAGGCACTAATGAATGGAATTTGTAATAATGTGTTATAAGATGTTGTCTTTGCTATGTCCTTTCAACATTTTTATCAATGAGTTGGATGAGACATGGAAAACAGTTCATCCAATTTTCAGAGTCACGAAGTGGGGGTAGGAATAAGAAGAACACTGGACAACAAGAAGCAGGATCCCAAAAGATCTGGGATAATGAATGAATCAAAAAAGTTTTCATTTCAGAGGAATATAGGAAGTATTTGATGTAGGCCGTCCAACCGATTGCCCAAGAATGGGAAGAAACATATGTATGAAAGAGAACACAACTTGGGGAAGGGCAGGGTGGGGAGGCTTTATCAAGTTAGTTCTACATGAATCAACATGCAGAGCTACCCAGAAGCTAATGCCCCAGGCAAATGGTCCTCCTGTACTGTGCACTGTTTATGTCCACTGGCTCTCCACCGATGCTCTGGGATCCAGCGCCCAGTCCAGGGAGGCTCCCCGGCTCTTCACAGTGACAGCTTGAATCTTCCTCCCTCCTTTCTGACATGCTGTTACCCTGGTCCCCATCTTGGCCTTTTCCCTCCGGTCTTTTATTCTTAGTGTTTGTTCTGGGTTCTCCTAGCATTTGAATCTTATTTATTTATTTTTTTTTCTGTTGGGCTCTGATTTGACTTCTCTCTCTGCCTCATTACATCCTGTGCTGCCTTGCTTCTTATCCTTGTTCCAGCTGCTTAGAGCTCAGCGCATGACACTGGTCCTTGGTGGGTATGTGGACAGCACCCCTATCACTCCGGCAACACATAGACCATGAGGAAAAGATGCGGACTGTATCTGGAGCATTGCATCCAAGTCTTGCCAATCCCCTTCCTCACCACGAGGGTGTCTACGTAAAGTGAAGTACGTTATTAGAAAAAGGACAGGTTGTGAATAGCCTTGAACACTTGGTAATACCTGGAATGACTGGAAGAGCCAGAAGTGCTTAAGGAAAGTGAAATTATGGGCATAGCAGATCTGTCTCAGAATTTGCAGAAGATTCCATGCGAAAGACCCCACAGGCTTCTCTTATGTGGCTCCAATGAGTAGCCTAGAACCTGCGGGCAGAAGCTGTAGGGAAAAGAGGCAGATTTCAGCTCAATAAAAAACTTTTTCATGGTGAGAGCTATCTAGAGATGAAATGGTAAAGTAGTGAGCTCCCCATTACTGGAGGTATTCAAGTATAGGCCGAGCAGTGACTTGTCAGGAAAGCTGTCCAACAGACCCAAACATCAAATGGGTACTTAGACTCTTTGATCTGTAGGTCAGTTCTACACCAGAGAGTCTCTGTGTCAGTGAGGCCCCAGTGGTGTTTTTGAACAGGTGGCATGATGACAGTGGTATATAAAATGCATGCATCCCTCCAGCAAGACATCAGAGAATGACCTTCACGTCCTCCTCCCTACCTGCGAGTTTTCCGTGTGAGCGAGCTCCGGCTCCCAACTACACTTGTCAAGCTCCCACTGTCAGCACAGACAAATGCTTCTGGCCACCAAAACAGGAGAGGCCCACCCCAAATCCAAGGGCTGCTCAATTTTAGTTTCCTATAGCTAGAGACTGTCTCACACTTTTCTAATCTCGTGCTTATGAAAGGGCTCTGCTCTCTCTTGGCCCCGACCCCCACCCCCTTTCACAGATCAAATTCCAAGTGCATTGGAGGGTTAGGAGCCAGAGTGAGAAAATGCATTTTAATAAAACCCCACTGATTTATAGGGGTGCAAGTCAAGCGAAAGGCACCTAAAGAGTCTTCCATCCCCTGCCACCTCCCCCCACTCCTGACCTACTCCGGGGCTGTCACACATCGATTGGCTTACTAGATAATAGATCGTGCCACCCGGTAGGGACCTCTGGGGACCAGCCGGGAGGTGGAAGAGTCGCACGCAGCAGCCCAGCCCTGAGTTAATCAAACTAGCAACAGGATCTCGAGCAGCAGCAGCGACGGCGGTGGCAAGAGTAGCGGCGGCGGCGGCGGCGGCGGCGGCATTATGCGTGATTACTGACAGGCACCAGCTGCTGCCGCCACAGCCGTCTCCAGCACACTATGTGGACTCTCCGATCTAGAGGCAGATTCCTGACTAATCCCAGAGGGCTGGCCCAGCCTGTGCTCCCCGGGCTGCTAGGAAGCGATGACCACTCTTGTTAGCCCAAGTTGAAGAAAGCCCGGCGCTGCCTGGGAGCCGGGAGAGGCCGAAATATTTCGAAGACGCACGAGAGAGGAACATGAACTGAAGAGTAAACATGTATGGAAATTATTCTCACTTCATGAAGTTTCCCGCAGGCTTTGGCGGTGAGTATCTCACTGGGGCTGCACGGCGTGGACCTGTACGGAGAGACCAGGGGGAAACTGGGAAACACTGATAACTGGGTTAGTGTTGAATTAGGAGAACATGTGTTTAGATGCACATACAGTGTGTTTCCCCGTGAGTGCGTGTGTGCATTAGTGCACGTGAGAGAGAGGGAGGGGGGTCCGTAGGTGAGGACATGCTTGCATATCAGATTGAGGATATGGGGACATTCTAAGGAGAGTGTCTTTCTAAACCAATATGCTTGAGAATGTGTCCGAGACAAAGATAGCATAAGAGCATTGCTACAGCCCAGTGTGTTTGTGTGGGTGTGAAAAGTGGAAGAGTTAAAGAGAAATTACTATGATATTCCCATTAGCCGACTTGTAATGAGAAAAAAAATGTGATTAAAAAGGTTGGGTTCCTGGGATACTTTGCAACAAGGGCATGATTGTTTTACTCCAAAGCAGGTTTCCCTATAATTGGATTCTTAAAAAGAAAACATAGTGCTTTAATTTGCTACAGTGTTTTCCTTTCTCTGTTTTCTTCCCTTTTGATTTGCTAATAGCCTCTTCTCTCCTCCCCCGCCGCTGCCCCCATTCTCTTGCAAGGGTCGCTGCCGTCACTTCCACTCTGGGGGGTCGAGATCTCGCGGTGGGGGGTCTAGGGTCTCAGAGAATTGGCAAACTGAAGATCCAAGCTGCCACGCCAGGCAAGGCAGCCCAGTTGCGCTTCCCAGCAGCTTCCTGAGACTGGGTCCGTGGGCTGCTTTAACGCCCGGGCACATGGGGGCCCTCGGTTCAGCGACAGTAAATGGAACTAACAGCTGACCAGCTGGCCTCCGGCTTGTCAGTTGGTGGCACGTAGCTTATGTTCTTGGGAGCCAAGCGGGTATTCTGGCAGGCAGGACAAAGCAGAAATTCTTGTAAGGTCTTGAGAACTGAAAAGCCCCTGCTCTCCCGACCTCCTCTGTGGACAGCTAGCCAATTCGTCTGAAGGCTTGGGAGTAAAGCAAGCCTCCTCGGTCGGGCAGAACCTCTGTGGGGCACGGTGGAGCGCTGCACAGTGGAAGGGATGCCTGCCCAGGGGGCGTTAGACCAGGGAGTTGCTCGTTCATTCTGGGTCCACTGGATGGTTTGCATAAGTCAAACATGGTGTTAGGCACTGGACTACAAATATGAATGAGACACAGTCTCTGCCTTTTGGACTGGCACAGGCTTGTTAAACAGACACATTACAATACTGCACGATGTGTGGAATATGGAAGGCATGAGGAGGCTGTCCTTGCACCCGCGGGTAGGGGGCCAGGGAAATATTCCAGAGATAATGTTCAAGTTACTTGGGCCAGTCTGATGACCGAGCGAGAGTGGCGGCCAACGCCATGACCTGGGGATTTGATCTCCAGTTTACGGTTGGGCCGTGGGTGTGAAAATCCTCAACTCCCATCTCAGTCCCATTCAGAGCAGAGAATTGCTTTTTCCTTAGTATCTTAGTTCAGCTGTTAGAGAAACATGCTTATCCTCAGCCAGATTCTTGCGACTCCCAAGGTCTGTGACATTATGGCTTTGTTAATGCCAAAGAGACCCTTGGAGACAGTTGGGGCGAATAAAAGGATGGAAGGCAGAAAGATCTAAGGAGAGAGCTAAAGTAAAAACTGGAGAAAGAAGGTCTAGTCTAAAATTCACCGGGGGCTACTTGCTGGAGTCTTGGAATGTTAGCAGCCTAAGGGACCTTAAAGAGCATCTTAGACCTCCCATTTATGGATGTATAAACTGAGACCTAAAGGGGGACAGGGACTAGTCCAAGTTTATGTGGGGCTGAATTGCAGAGTACTTCCAGAAAAGTCTCTGATTCGGACTTATAATAGTATTGCTTTAATCTGATACAGTGAAAACAGTGTGGGTGGAGAGGGGGCAGGGAGAGACACTGTGCTGAGTTTAAGTCCCAGTTTTTTACTTACTAGCTGTGTGACCTTAGGCAAGCCAGTGAACCTCTCTGAGCCTCAATATCTTTCTCTCTAAAGTGGGATTTATAATCTCATCTCATCTTTGAAGTGATGTTGTGAGAAATAAACGAGCTAGCACATGGACAAGCAGCTGCTGTAGTGTAGTCCATATACGTGGTGCCTAATACAAGTGAATATTTACATTCCCTCCCTTCTGCTCAGGTACTAACATGCAAATGAACTCAAACATCAGATGTTACTGTAGAAAAATGAATTAGAAATCTGGGAGGGTAAAATTAAATCCACGAAGACCCACATATTTTGCTGGCTCAGACTTTCCCAGTTGTGGGGGCTCTGCCATTTAGTGTAACTAGGTTTCAGATGGAAGGAAGCACAATGGTTTCTTCCAGCCATGGCAGAAAATAGTTCGCTGTAACATGGGGACCTGGAGGGGAAAGAGTCATCGAGGTTGTTTAAACCTCGCCCTCTCATGCCACTTTTCCTTGCCATTTCTGAGGGAGGAGAACCATCACCGCGTTTAGTTCTGCCAATGATTTCTATTTTGCTTGCACGTGCCAGTTCAGAGGCCTAACCGTGAGCCAAAGGATTCCACCCCTTTGTAGGGAGGTCTGTCTGGGAACTTGCAGTGACTAGGGAGGGAGGGATGCAGGAGGACCCAGCGGCAGGCACAGGGGAAATCGGAGGATTAGAGTGGACGTCACCTGTAGCCTCGAACCACCTTTGTCCCAATGCAGCAAGTTGTGTTGCACTTATGAAATGATTTGGTGTATAACCCCCTGCTCTTTTACATGTTAGCAAGTGGAACCGCAGAGGGCTCCTGTGATTTGTGTGAGAATCTCTAGGGAAGCAGTGTCACCCCTGGGAAATAACTCCTGGGATTTGTGTCTGGGGCTGTGCTTACCGGACATCAGAGCGTCATCTGATCAGTGAACACAAGACTGGTCCAACTGAGCAAAGGGTGGTGACCACCTGGGTGGCAGTGGCCGCACAAAGGCGCCCACTCTCCCGGCTCCAGGCCCTGCCATGCAACAATGAGAGGATCCTTCTCTTCTCCTTCTCTGCCGAGTCCTGGCTTTGCCAGCTGCTCAGTAAGAGATTTGTTTTCCTGGGATGAGACAGTTGCTGCCTCTTAGAAGATAGCAAAACAAAGCCTGTAATCCCCTCATCCAATTGTGCAGTAATCCTCAGGGTGAGGAGCAGATCAGGGAGGAGAGGACTTCTCTCATCTCATTTAACAAGCACACTGACACTAATGCCAGCTACCATTGTGAGCACTTTGCCAGTGTCAACTCACTTAATCCTCGTAACAACCCTCTGAGTAAGCACTGTTGCCATCCTTATCACACTGCCTGTACAGATGCAGAAACTGAGGCACTGAGAGGTGAAACAGCTCGTTTAAGGCCTCAGAGCTGGAAAATGGCACAGCCGAGGACTTGAACCCAGGCAGTCTGGCTCCAGAGTCCATGCTCTGCTGAGCTGCCTCTCGTGGCTTCTGTGAGTGACACACTTTCTCTGTGAAGCTGGGGTGAGCAGCACAGCCCCTGGTGGGGTTTCTGGAACCCCAATCTAGCCTTAGAAATCCAGCCCCAGCACTGACGGGTGGCTGCAGACACAGTGTCTAGCCATTGAGGAATACACCATGGGATGGTTGAAGAGCCACTGAGGAGCAACAGTGACCTCTGGAGAATTAATTGGTGGCTTCTCCTGGGGACCTACTGATTTGTAAGAGTCTTGCCTAATTGATCCTGACCATTCATGTAGAATATTCCCTTTTTCATCTGAGGACAGCCATTGAGGATTGGTTGGGTTGGAGGGGCTTGCATATGTGTGTGTGCACACGTGTGCATATGCTAGAACATATTTTTCCCCTCCACAGATATGTGGGTGGCTAACTGGAACCTACCGTGGTTGTAAGTGGTTTGGCTTCATGTAGGAAGGAGTAACTGTTTATGAGATTTAGGAAGGAACATTATTAGTATAAACTATTTTCTGAAACATTTACAATCTTACCAAGAGATAGAGAGCTGAATAGCAACTGGGGGAAGAAACTGTGCAAAGAGGAATCCAAATGCTCCACCTCTTCCTTCCCCTCATTATGTGGCTTCTGCATCTGCAGGGAACTTAGGCACCAGCATTGGGTGGCTGGCATGCCAGGGGCTCCCAGAGGAAACTGGTATTTTCTCCTCTTATTTGAAAGTAGGAGACACAGAGGCTCAAGGAATGGAAGTTTATTCTCTAGAATGCCTGGCTTTTGGTGGCTCTCATGAGATTGACTCAGCCCTGGCTTAGTGATCCTCACAAAAGAGTGAAAATACAGGCTGAACATCCCCAATCTGAGAATCTGAAATCCAAAATGCTCCAAAATCCAGAACTTTTTGAGTGCTGACATAATGCTCAAAGGAAATGCTCATAAGAGCATTTTGGAGTTTGGATTTCCAGACAAGAGATGCTCAACTGATTAGTATAATGCAAAAATTCCAAAATCTGAGAAAATCCAAAATCTGAAACACTTCTGATCCCAAGCATTTTGGATAAGGGGTACTTAATCCGTATTAATTCATTTCATACCTACAACACCACTTGAAGGTTGGTACTCCTATTATATCAGCCTACAGATGCAAAGACTGGAGAAATTAAATAATTTGCCGAAGGGAACAGGGCTAGTAAATGGTACAAGTGGTGTTTGAATCTGGGGAAAAGTAGCAGGTCTGGATTTTAATTCCAGCCCCACCATATACGATACTGCAGAACTCTGCAAATTCTTACAGCAGGTACCTAGGACGGCCCTTCCAGACCCAACTCTTGGCTTCTCTCAGGATTTTGACTGAAGGCCTTTCTGACTAGGACACCTCATCCTGACTCCGGCCCCTCGCAGTTCAAACCCCAGCTCTGGGGCCCTTCCTCAGGGCTCCCAGCCCAGCCCCATCTTCCCTCTCCTCCTTCCACACAAGAGCCCCTCAGACACCAGGGATTAGCTAACATGCATTTCTTATATTCGAATTATTCTCAGCATTTTCAAAAGCACTTTCACATAAACCT